TAGTTGGAATAAACGTGACGATTTGGTTGGAATGCTACCAAAACTGAGAATTCTTCTTAGTCCAATAAATACAATAGTGAAAAACCATTTCCTCAATCTTCTTTGTTCTTACATTCCATGAAATGAAATCTCAACAAAGAAAAATAAGGTTGAAAGGAGGGACGGACGAACAATAGAATTAGAAACATGTTTGAAAAAGCCAATAATTTATTATTATCATCAGCTCCCCAATAAAATTTTCACTAAAACCAAAACTTCAAGCAATTTGTGCTGAACAGAAGCCACATGACAATGCGTGAAGGTAAACTTATTCACACATTTACTTGCCATTATTATTTATATTCTAATCCAATCCCCCTTCCCTTCAACACCCTCTGTATCATCCCCAGGTGCAGGTAGTATAAAGGATAACATTAACACAACTATCTCCTTTTATAAAAACCTTGAAACCAAATCATCCAAATTTATACAAAATAATTTTAGCCAGAGGAAGCACACCATCCATTATTCAAATCCATTTCCCTTAATTAAATATCAAACAGTCAATTGCCTTCATTCCCCTTCAAACATTCACTCCATTAATACAAGACAAAATTTTTATTGTACATCTCACCATGCTGATGGTTCCACATCTGCATTTGGATCCATTACGGATATAACAACATGTTAATTCCTCATATTTATAATCCACATAAGGGACTAGCTTGGAAACTAAGGACGGTAATGGAAATCTGCTGTGACAACCACTAACAATTCAAGAGTAACTTCTTAAGTTCACAAGCATGGCAAAAGATTAACAACAAAAGGCTCACTAAGGTCAGCATACAGAATAGCCAACCCTAATTTCATCAAGAATATCACCTTTGTGATTTTTCTAATCTGGCTACCACCTTTCAAAAGTTTCTAATCAAGGATATAACCATGCACACTCACTTAATCTTTCTTTAGTAAAGTTGCAAAGGTCATACTATTGAATGGTGGTAGCCTTGGTTGGTAAAGAAAAATGGTCATATACTTAATTTTAAAAGTTTTGAAAGTTTGTGTCACTTATTTATACGAAATCTGTAAAGATCAATGCACGAACCTTAAGAACCCCGGGTTCACACTAGCAATGGAAGATAATTTTAGTCTCAAAAATGCACATACATCTTTGTATTATTCAGCTACCCTGCATAAAGACAAGAAAAATGTTAGAAGTAGATTTTAAGATGTGAAACAAACAGGATGCAAAGCAAGTAATGCATTATAATCTAGACCAATGGCCTTAGAAGACAATATAAAAATGCTCACATAGAACTACATAATGGTACCGAGGGGGCATGTGCCATTCACCCAAAATGCTGGCAAAAGGTTCTATTTTCCAATGGTGAGTTCTTGTGCCATGTGTATTTGAAATGAAAACAAGACAAATGGCAAAAGGAAGCTAACTTAGAGAAACAAGCACCATTTCTAGAACTTACCCTGGAATGATTAACAATAGCTTTCATATGATGTGCAAATCACTGAGGAAGTCTGATAACCTGACAATTCCATCAATTTCTTAGAATGTAAAAGATAGAGTTCAGCTAAATTTGTGAGAAGGGGGGCAGGGGAGAAGAAAAAGAAAAGAAAACAAGGAAGATACCTGATATTCTTAGCTATCACTGTTTGTCCATCTTCAGAACCAAGATGCCGCAGAACTATTTCTTCTAAACGACCATCTCGGTATGCATGCTACACAAACAAAACATCCATGAACACAGCATCATACAACTTTGCCATATAGTAGGAACCAAAAAATGCAAATGGATTCTAAACATGCGTAAAATGTAATCAAGAGCTATATATAAAAAATATGTATCACAGATAACAGCTCCATTCAGTCCAAAATCCCTTTCAATTGAACTGCACAAATTTTCAGATTTCCACATTTATTTCACCAAGAAAGACCGGCTCAAGCATTGTCTTTCTTTTTCCTTCTAACAATTTTGGAAGCACACATGTTCCCTCCCTCCTCCCTCTCTCCCTCCCTCTATCCACATATCGTCTCTCTCTCTCTCTCGCACACACACACATACTATAAGCATGAAAGCAAATCAACACCTAAATGCACCATCTTATCAGGTAGCATTGCATGGCACTTTAATCAATTCACATAAATAAAAGGTTTCAAAAGATTCTCTGATCTCCCCATGGTGGTAGCCAAAACCGAGAGCTCCCTACAAGTTAAAGTCAGAAGTAAATCACCAATAAATAACAATAAATAAAGCTGAAACTCTAGTACAAAACAAAAACCTATATTTTATGTTTCAACACGATGTGAACTAAAACGACCAAACTTCAAACACCAACAATCATCTTCCACCATATGCAAAATGTGGTGGGCTATCAAAAAGCCAATTATCATCACATCTCCAAAAATCCAACAGAAGAACATGCTTAGCAAACATTACTAAATCAAAGCACCTACTACTCTAATGGAGATTAATTCTCCTCATCACTTAAGCTAAAGAGACCCATTAATAACAGCGTTGCCATTTCAATTCCTTCTTCATCTTCTTCAATTGTAAAATCATCATAATCTAACTCGTCATCCCAATCCGATAAGTCGTCTTCGGTATATAAGTTCTCGAGCATATCATCAAAAAATGAAGACATTTCCATAGCATTGGATCTGCGACGAGGTGGTGGCCTGTGATATTTCCATGCATATGAGCCTGGCTTGACCGTATGCTGGAACACAACAGAACAGTGTACCCATTAAAGGAATCATTGGAACTAACGCTCTCTAAGAAAACAAATGACATACAAAAGATGCAAAATTTTCTATGATAGAGCAAGACAAGAATCCATAAAAGCCATTTCTTAATAGCATCCATGAGAATGTCATTGAATCCCACAACCTCCTAAGAAACTCAGGTTTTCCCTAGCCTTATTCTGAAGTCATCAACCAAAGCAAGAAGAGAGGGGAATAGGGAAAACATAACCGTATATACCTAAGAAAGAAACAACTAGAAGAAAAGCCAAGAAACTGCTCAACGATATAGATTATAGATAGTGCATGTGGAGTCCTGAAGTGGAAAGATAGTTTTGATGTTCTAGTGTTTATTTCTATATGATTGAGAGAGAGAGAGACGGAGACTGAGAGAGAAGAAATCACAAACCCAAATAAGCGCCACCAAAATTCTGACTAAGTTTCCAGATTACAATTACTTGCTGGGAATTCTAATCTTATCCTCAGTCAACATTTTAACCCTTTTTTTTTTTTTTTCTCTAATGAACTAGTGCGCTGGTAAATGTTTTATAATTAGTCGACAGATATTATGAATCGTGTTGGAGGTTTATGACCCTAATTTCACTCATACAATAGCAGAATTCATCAACTTATGTAATAGCACATAAAATGTACTTGAAAAACATGATACATTCTCACTATCCATATTTCATAGGCATGAAGATCAAGGTAAATTCGATGCAGTGAATCATATAATTATAATCAGTCAGAAAAAAAAACTTCTGTCCAGTTGCCTCTCATCCATGTTCCAAACTCCCTGATGAACTATGACTTTTTTCAGGTAACTAAGATAAAGACCTATGAACTGCCAAATGTTGAGAATCCAGATAAGTATTTTCATAGCAACAAGAACACTTCAAGTAAATGACTTATTTTACCTTGTAGAAACAACTGGACCCAAAAGGGCAGTTTCCATTTCCAAAGTTGAAGTGCTTGCAATCTATGGATCTGTAAAATCAAAGAGAATATGAATAATAACACACATAAAAGATTCAAAAAAACTTAATTTCTCTATCATTAAACTTTTTTTACTCTTGTAAATTAGTATAAGATTACGATTATCAGTTGGAAAAAGTTTGAAAATTTTCCCAACAGATCAGGTGCCCCATAAGCCAGGGAATTACAACTCATCCTGAGATCTTTAAGGTGAGCATAAACTTTTGAAAATTCAAATCAAATTTTATGGCAAAGCTAGAAGCATATATGGCAGGAGATTACCTTAATTTTGCTTTGTAATTATCCACAATTTCCTGCTTTTCTTCAGGAGTGGAATACCAAATGACACTTGGAATTACAAAGTATGATGGCTTGCGACAAATTGGACAAGCCCTCGATGTGGTATTGGGATCCATTCCAGAGGAATGCGAACTGCTGCGCCAATTCCTAATACAGGATACACAGAATGAATGATCACATTCTGAAAGAATCCCAAACTTGCATTCAGCCGGTGTGGGCTTGGACAACACACGATCTAAGCACACGCTGCACTCAATTTCATGGCTCCGTTTCAGTGCCTCAAGGTACCTTTGCCTTTTCTCACAAGCCCTCATGTGTTCCTCCCTTTCTTGAGGTCTGAAAGGATGCAAGCAATGTTTCCCACAGGTTGGACACAAATCTCCATGTAAGTGAGGGCATTTTTGGCCGTGAGGACAAATACCGGCAGCAGCAAAAGAGCAGATGGATTGGTCAGCTAGTCTCAGACTCCTAGGCTCCAAGGCATCACCAGTATCTATTAAACCATTATTATCTGCGGACTCCAAGTTCCAAGGTGGTGTGGGGGAAGGAAGGAAAGTTGTGATGGCAGAAGTAGGTGGAAGTCGAGGGGCAGCAAGTGCAGTTGGCATGGGTCTTGAAGGATGAGGTAAGGGAAATGTAGATGATGATGATGAGGCGGCTGTATTCGAGCGAGAGACCTTAACATGATCGTATCTGCATCGACTGCCATAAGAGCAGTTTCCTTTCTGATAGTAAGTGCAAATCTGCAAGCAGCAAAACAACAAAACCAAAAAAGTGAATAAAAAAAAAACCACTAACACTGAATGTATGTAGGTTTGGAGTGGAAAGGGGGGTAAAATGCAAAAGAAAAAAGGTCTTACATTATTGGGAGGATCCCTGCGATCATGAGAAAATTCACAATGCTCCCCTTTGAGACAAGCTCCGTGGGCATAGAACTTGCAAAGGATCCTAAAAACAAAAACAATTCATGAATTAGAATTTTATTTTTCAGTACTCTCCTAAAAAAATGAAAAAAAAAAAAAAAAAGACTGGTAGTGTATGAAATAATAAACGGGATATGAAAAAGATGATCGGCGAAGCTCATGGCGTTAGGTTACAATTTCTTTTCATTTCAATCAAACATCAAAATAAAAAATTATAAAAGCACCCTAAAAATGCAAGAAATTGAAGAAAGAAATATCATAAACAAAAGAAGGATTGAATTAGACTGAATTCAAAATTGAAGAATTAATCACTAAATAATTAAACCATCATCAGAGGGAAAAAAAAAAAAGAAAGAAAAGTGGATATGAAATTGGAATTGAAGATTTTTTGTTGTTACCTCTTGGACATGGTGATTTTTTTTTTATTGGAATCGAAAAAGAGGGATGCGAATGGAGGCACCCAACCCAAATTCTTCTCTTCCTCCTCCTCTACCACTAGGTAATGCTTAGGGTTTGTCTTGGCGGTCGGTTTTCCCTTTTTCCATTGAAAAAAATCCCCCCTCCCTGCCTTTTCACTATTTATTTATTTAATTTTAATTTTATTTGTTTAATAATTTAATTAGTACCAACCAACAATAGCCCATCACCCTTTACCCATTTACTCTCTTGGGATGCCTGTGCCCAGTGGGCCGTTCCCATCCTAATTCTGGGTATCTTATCTCTATTCAATTCTTCTACTCCATTCCCAGTATTATTTCTTTAACCCCTTTTTTTATTTTTTTTTTTATTTTTTTGCTGGCAGGTTGATTGATTGAAGGAAAAGACAAAAGAGATGGAATGAAAGTTCAATTCATGATCATACAAATGAAGAGGTAACTTTTTATTAACAATTTAGGTAGTTACTCTACAAAAACATTCCTTCTATTTAACTTCTATTCCGGTGTAATTCATGCACCACAAGGATGTTATTTATATAGTTTTAAAGATTACATGGATTTTGTTTCAATTAACAACACTGTACTAGTAAATGATTAGTACAAAGTAAAGCCATCATCATAGGAGACATGGCATCCTCGGCGGCAGGGTGGAGCATTTTCATCATACTCTGCACAGCAGCTCCATCTTTTCTTCCAATTGCTGCTTCCAGTGTTTGGTCTATCCTTGCTTTCATTCCATTTGTAGACGATTACTCCAGTTCGGTCACTCCATTCTCCATCAATCCCCTGGTGTGGTGGTGCCAATGCAAATAATCCTTTCTCCCCTGCATAAACCCCACCCCACCCCAAGGTGAGCAAAATTTTTAATTCTCATCATCAAAACCAAAATTTTAATTAAGAGAAACATATCTATATTATATACCAGTGGCGTGGCCATGGAAGGAGCAAGCAATAGGAGAATTATGTTTGTCGAGGTAAAGGGTATTGCACCTCAGGCATCGCTTCTTTGTTTGGGTCTTTTGATCAGATACTCGTACGTTGTTGGGCTTCCTCTCATAATTGGTTTCTGAACTTGACCTGATTTTCACCTTCACCATAATATTGTTATTGGATGCCTTCCAGTTCCACTTGCAGGATGCCAGCGCCATCCCCAAAATTTCCCCTTCTTCTCTGTCAGTGAAGGGACGGTGGAGAAAGGGCCCAAGTGGATTCTTATCATCACTCATATTTTATCTTATTTTATGGACCGATCCGTTTGTTTACACTCTAGTCCAACCCGACTCAGTAACTAACCCATTTTCGGTATCATATCTGGTTCAATCAATTAAATAAAAAAATTGATCACAACTTAAATTTAATTAAATATATAATTTAGAAATAAAAAATACATAAAAAATTAAAAGTTGAAAGTTAAAAAATAAAATTAAAATAAACTAAGTTAAGTCAACAAGTTGGTCACATCAATCTTCAAAATGAATTAAAGCATTTATTGACCTTTTTTTTT